TATATATAGTTAGTCAGGGTGAGAATCTTTCCAATTAACTGCTAGATTAAAAAATCTTCTGAATATTCTCAGAATCATTGCCTTGTCTATCTTCTACATATAACTGTATGGCTTGACTTATTCATGTTTCCTAGCTCTTCTCCTTTCCCTCTCTTGATTAGTTAGTCCTTGAGATCCTGCAGGATCATTTGATTTTGCTTTTGATTTTTTTCACATTCTTGTATATTCTGGGTTTTAATCCCTCTTGGAAGAATTGTTTGGAAAAAAAAAAAGAATTGTTTGCAAATATATTCTCCCATTCTACACAGTGTCTTTTTTCCTCTTTTGTTTTCTTTGTTGTGCAGAAGTTTCTTATTTTAACCTAATTTCATTTGTTTGTTTTTGCTGTTGTTGCTTATGTTTTAGAATTCTTATCCAAAAAATCTTTACTCTTGCAAATTTATTGACTTTTTAAAACGTTTTCTTCTGGTTGTTTCATAATTTCTGATCTTCTGCCTAGCTCTTTGATTCATTTTGAGTGATTTTGTAGATGATGAGATATGGCTCTTACTTCCCTCTTCTATATATTGATAGCCAGTCTCCCCAGCAGAAACTGACCTTTCTCCATTGCATGCTCTTGGTACCAAATCAGCTGACTGTAAATATTTGGATTTATTTTTGTGTTCTCTAGTATGTGTCATTGTTCTATGTATTGGCTTTTATAGCCTAATATTTATTTCATTTACTGCTCCCTTACTGTATTGTTTTGACCTCACTAATTAGCATAAATTAATTTTTGTTGTTTGTTCTGGACTGTCAGTAGCTTGCTAACAAGACTCTTCCATGGGCAATTATTTTACTTGAAATAATTGACTCTTCCACATAAAGAAAAATATAGCTGTGACTAAACCTGAGACTCTGGCAGTTCTTTAGGTTGCATTTTTAGCATGATTGTTTTTTGCAGTCTAGCTGCTAATTGTTTCACTTTGCAGCACTCATTTTTATTAGAATAGTAAAAATTTAAATGTTTACCACCTATTTCCATATGGGGAAAATAAAAAGAGCAGTATTTTGTCCAAAGCAGTAGACTATCCATATTTTCTAGGCTGTAAATTAAACAGAGAGAAAAGAGTGCAGTAAGTTTCATTTTTCAGCTTCTCATTATATTGTAAATGGCCTAACACCTACCTTATGTCTGGAAAAACTTAACAGTTTAATCTTCCTGGGAAGACAGTGAACTTTCAATTGGAGCATTTTCTTTGTGTAAGTAATTGCCACTTTTGGAGTAATCTTTATACTTTTGTTGCCAGAATGAAGCAGATGGACTCGGTCCTGTCATGGGGCCCGCAAATGTTCTATGTTCCTCCTCTTTCAGAATAAGATTTTGGATATAAAGTAGTTTTCAAAGATCTGAGAGGCTGAGTTTGATACATAACGTGAGGCTAGAAGATCTAAGGTAATCATTCTTTCTCACATTCTCCAAAGGGCATGCCTGCCCCCTCTTCCATCCCTGTGTTCTCCAGGGCATACTGAGATTTGTTTCTAGTCTCAAAACTGTTGAGAGAAAGAAAACTAAACATGTACAGAGAAAAAAAAAAGCTATGTGAATGTTGCTCAAAATATATTTTTGTACTCTTTGTATTTTTATAAAATATATTTTTGTAAACTATGTTTTGTATATAAATGTATTTTGATTCTTCTGCACATACTAAGTTTATTTTCTTATCTTTTTATATATGAATAAGAAATAGAAAATCACTGATTTCTCATGAGATAAAGATCACACTTCTAATCTCTGATTCATTCAGTTAATTTGAAGGTCTTTATTGTGCTCCAGGCTCTCTTGGTTTTTACAGAAGCAATACCATTTTTTAGTATACCTATATGCAGAGATTTTTAAGACAGAAATTTAAACACAAAAATATTTTTTCCTTTACTTACGTATTTACTGTTTCTGATATTGATCATGCCTTCTCATATTCACAGTTTCTGTCTAATATCATTTTATTTAGCCTAAGGTAATAACTTTAAATTTTTTTGTAGAGCAAGTCTAATAGTAATATTTTTTCCTAGAATTTGAATATTAGAAAAAAGCAACCTCATTTTTTCTGAGTTCTTTTGTTTTATTAGTATATGTTTGAGACACCCAATAATTACATTCATTGGGGAATTGGTACATATACCTATCACATCTTAATTATTTTTACTTCCTCTTCCCCTCCTTGTCAACTTTATTTTTGAAGGATGTTTTTGCTGACCTACAATTTACAGTCAACAACTTTTTTATTTCAGCATTTTAAAGATTCCATTGTCTTCACGTATACACTGCTCCTGGTGCGAAATCAGTGACCATTTTTATTTGTGTCCCTTCATTTATATAGTTTCTTCCTCCTCCTTCTTCTTGCTATTACGATTCTTTATCACTAGCTTGAAGCCACTGATTAAAATAGGCTATAATGTCCCCACCACCGCTACCATTATCCTACTTGGGATTTGTTTAGTGTTTCATAATTATTATTTTTGCCAAATTTGGAGTGTTTTTCTTCAGTCTTTTATTTCTCAAGTACTTTTTACTTATAGGATTCTTTCTTTGTATATCCTAACCATTCTAACCATAGGTCCTTGAGATTTTGTTCTGTTTATCCTCCCAACGTTTTCCTTCTCTGTTCTTCATTTTAGTTTATATTGCTGTCTTTAAGCTCATAGATCTTTTCTTCTGCACTTAAGCTTATTCATTTACTTTTTAAATTTTCAAATAATGCATATTTCTGCTTTATAAATTTTGCTTATAATTATAATTTTATTTTCTTGTATTTATCTTTTCTTTGAGCTCTTTTCACATATAATGACATCTTAAAGGCCTTCATCTGCTAATTTTATCTTTACAGTCATTTCTGAGATGCTTCCTATTATTTTTTCCTGGTTCTAAGTTTTTATGCTTGTAATTGTTGAGTACACACAGAAAGTAAATGTTATTGTGGGTGCATGAGTTTTAAATTTTCCTTTGAAATGTGTTGAGTTTTGTTTTATTCATTTCTTAAATCACTTTAAGTCTCATTTTAAAGATTTATTTAGGTGGCCATAGGGCCTAATGTTATGCTAATTGACCTCTTCTACTAAGGCATGTCTTTTTTGAGCTTTCAGTAGAAAACTCTGTATATTCAGTGAAGTTACTGTGAATGCCTGTGTACATGGAACATTGAGGTTGTTTATCTTGTAGCTTTGTAGAAATTGAATTTCACCCTAACATAGATGGCTTGGCAAATGGCCAGCCTCGAGGAGACCTGTGGTGGCCAACAGAGGTTGCCTGGTGTACCTTTCTCCATGGGTTGACACTTTCTCAAGCAGCTCAGTTTCTTTAGCCTCTGCAAAGATTAATCCCTGGCCCCTAACTCAGCATAATTCTCTGCTTGGATTCCTGTTATGTTACAGTCTTGTAGGATGTTTAGGCCAAAAGAAAGCAAAAGTGGTGCAAGGCTTCATTGTATTCATTCTCCTTCTCCCAAAGATTCCTGTCCTTTTCTGCCTACTATACAGTATCTGAAGATAGTTGTATCATTTTTCTTGTGAAGCAGATACAACATGAGGGCAAGGCCATCATGGCTAGTCTTCCATAATTTTATTTAATTCTGATATATTACTACTAAGTTGGTATTGTGTTCATGAGAACTCTGTCTGGATAGTTATACACATGCAACAGAGACATGTTGTGCCTCAGTATTCAATCAATGCGTAAAGAAAATTCCAAGTTAGTGCAGACTGTGATACCTAATGACTGCAAGATTAGTAGCAAGTCAAAACAACATTTTTTTAAAAAAATTTTTATTTATTTATGTGTGTGTGTGTGTACATGCGCGCGTGGCCAGCTCAGCCCACCAGGGGGCGGGGCTGGCTGGCATGTGGTGCTGGGGGATTGAACCACGGTCCTTGTGCTTTGCTAAGCTTGTTCTAAGTAGGTGCTTTAAACCGCTGAGCCATCTCACCAGCCCCCAAACAACATTTTTGGATGATGCTTTCATCATTTTTAATAAAGGGTTAGAATTTTTTTAATGGTTTAGTTTTTATTTAATTCTCTTGAGTCAGATCTTATTTTTGTAAATCATGTTTTCCTGAATATTGTTGTCCTGTTAGTAACTCGAGCCCTTCAAAATTTCAGGAGCAGCATTTCTTGCCATTACAACAATCTATGCTGAGACAGGATCTGGTTTTGTTGTACCAAGTGCTTCTTCCAAAGCTGGTGTGGAAGCCATGAACAAGTGAGCCTTCTGTGTTCATCCTGTTGCTAACGATAAAGTACTTTGATAGCTCATAAATAGAAATTCCTGCTTTCTGGTTTACATCTAGAAAAAAATAATTTGGATTGACCAAGAGACACATTCTGTTTCCTGGATGAGTCCCATTTGCCTAAAACAGCACTCTCCAATAGCATTTACATGGTGACGGAAATGTCCTATAAATCTGCGATAGTTAGTAGCTGCACATAGTGATTGAACCCCTGAAATATAGCCACTGTGACCGAGAAACTGAATTTAAAAATTTTAAAGAGTCATGTGGCTGGGGCCAGGGAGATGGCTTAGTAAAATAAGCGCTTCCCTGGCAAGTGCAAGGGCCTGAGTTCAATCCCCGGTTCCACGGAAAAAAAAAAAAAAGTCACATGTCTAATATCTTTAGACATCATGGGACTTTTTGTCCTTCAGTGTGTCCTTGAAGGTGCCATCCCTAACCTTGTGAACATATCTTCATTTTCTTATTGTACCTACTGCATAAGATTAATGGGACTAACACAGACTTTGAGCACTTGCCAAGTCTATTCCTTTGCTCAACAAATAAAGATTGCTTTTTGACTTGTTTTTCCCATTGGCCTTTTCCACTGTGTTTGTTGTAATTGAGCATTTTTATTGTTAAATATCTGGCTATTGTAGTAATCCTATGTTATATTTCTTTGTTATCAGTCTCTTTCTCTTTCATTTTTCAGGTTTGTATTTCTACCAGAATTATTTTCCTAAAAATACATATCTTCTTATTTTTATTCTTTAGTTAAAAACATTAGCACATTTTCTGTTAGTGCTTGAAATAAAAGCCCAAACAGCATGACATTTTAAATAAACTTGTGCAGTCTTCCTTCTGTTTATTAATTAATTTATGTAATAACCATCACATACCTGTAGTGTGCCTGCCATTGTGGTGGTAGGCACCAGGAATATGGTAGACATGGAAACAGACCATTTCATGTTCTGCGTGTCTTCTCTCATTATCTACATAGAATTAACCATTCCTTATCATCTGTTGCTTAAAATTTTATTTAATTCAATCTCATTAGATGACACACTGAAAAATGGATTCTGAAGTGCAGCTGGCATGTCAGGGTGGCGGGGCACAGAGAGAAGGGCATGATAAACTTTCAGACATGATGCTACAACTATCTGACTTCCCCACTGCAGTGAGAGTCCTCATTACCCAGTAGAATCGGACACGTGGCTTGTGCTCAGTGCTAGCTAGTTGGGCTGCAATTTTGCTCTTGCTTTCAGAATACCAAAGTACTTCTAACATTTAGATCCATAGTATATATTTGTTTGACGTAGAAAGTGCTGTTTCCTGTCTTAGCCCATTTAGTGCTGCTATAACAGTGCCCAAAAGTTGGTATTTTATGAGCAACAGAAATTTATTTATTTGATAGTCCAGAGGCTAGAATGTTCAATAGCATGGTGGCTGCATCTAGTAAAGGCCTTTTTATTAAATCATCCCATGGTGTAAAGTAAGAGAAAGTGCAGAAGAGAGCAAGAAGAGGCTGAATTAAGTTTATAATAAGTCCACTATTGCTCTAACATTCTTGTGATAATGACATTAAATGTTCAGAAAGCAGAGTGCTCATGACTGAATCACGTGTTTTTAGTTTCCACCCTCCAAACTCTTGCCTGGCAGCCAAAGTGTCTAACAAAAGCCTTTTAAAGACATATTAAACCTACAAAGTTCTTCAAAGTTGAGTGTAGGTCCAAACAATTACTTTTTAAAAATCAGAAATTATTAGAAATAAAGAAAAAAAAAGAAATAAAGGATTAGCACATGACTATTTTGGTAGCATTTGGACACTATCAATATTAATTTTGTTGCGCCCTTTGAATCTTAGTTGAAGCTTCAGTATCCTGTACATAAAGGACTATGAATTCTCTTCATGTCCTTACACAGCATATTGCACTTCACAAATGCATGCGCCTTCCTTTACAGTCCCAGCTCTTTTTTTTTTTTTTTTTTGGTGGAACTGGAGATTGAACTCAGGCCCTTGCACTTGCCAGGGAAGCGCTTATTCTACTGAGCCATCTCCCCAGCCCTACAGTCCCAGCTTTATTTACATAAAGCTTTATTTATTCCTTCACAGTCCCAGCTCTTTTCATACATAATAGGAGATAACCACACTGCATATATCTTACAGATTCCCAGATTCTGGATTCTGGCTGTTGTTTGTGCTTTGTCATTTACTCATACTGATCTCTATACATTGGTTGTCTTTTTCCATCCTTCCCTCTATAAAGACCTATCCTCTTCTTACCTCCCTCTACAACGAAACCCTAATCTTTGTTCAAGTGTCAGCTCAACTGCTACCTTATAGATGTCTTCTCCCTCACTTCCAGGCTGTTTACATGGATCGTCTTTTAATTAGCCATTGCACACTTCAACGAATTACCTGTTAAGTGCATTTTCCCTTATATTCCCAAAGAAACCTGTTTTAGGAAAGGGAGAGAATGCTTCCTTGAAAGCAAGAGATTGTTTCCCTGCTAGAAGAAAAACAATACTTATCAGAAATTTGACGAATAGTAAGCACATAGTAAACAGATGTGAAATTAATGATCATAGTGCCTACCATATGTCAGTATGTTGTGGTTAGTGTGTTAACACCTGGAGTGAACTACATGAGATAGATTCCTTATCATATTACACTAGTTATTCGCTATTGCATAAAGTGGCCTAATGAGCACTGGTAGATTGTGCTAGCAGGAGAAGAAAAAAATTACCCAGCATATCTCTCAGCAGAAGTAGAATATTTTTTCCTCTGGGCAGATTTCCACAATAGGTTGCTCAGGTTTTCACAGTATGAAATAAACTCTGCTTAGTTGAGCAATTCTGTTAAGACCCAAAGTTACTACTTCTCTAGCAGCTTTGAGTAGGTTCCCTATAAGTAAGTCCCTGGGGTTAGTAAAAAAAAAAAAAAAGCTTCACCTCAGCTCAACTGACAGAAGTAGTTTTTATGTGTAATTTCTCTAAAGGAGAGGAAACCTGGAACCATGGGTCTGGGGAGATGGCTCAGTAGAATAAGCATTTGCCTGGCAAGCACAAGGGCCTGAGTTCAATCCCTGGTTCTGCAAAAATAAAAAATGAGAGACAGAGAGAGAGAGAGAGAGAGAGAGAGAGAGAGAGAGAGAGAGAGAGAGAGAGAGAGAGAGAACACCTACCTTTTCTTAAAAAAATGTACCTGTGAATTCAGTTAGACTCAATCTGCACTGGCTCACATGTCCCCTTTTCCTCAGAATTTTGGAAGGCCTTTTAAGTGCTGCTATCAGACTACATGAATAGGTATCTTTTCCCCATTATGTCTATTCAGAAAGAAACAGTGTCTTAAAGACATTGTTATATTACACAATTATACATTTGTCTTTTAGAAAGTTTCCTAGGTTAAATATATATATGCTGTAGTAGAAACTTTTGTGCTTTCCCTCAGCAATTTTGGCTTGCCTTTTCCTTCTGGGCCCTCTGAACTGTGTGTGATTAGGCTTACTGTTAAATTTGTAACTTAGTTATTAATACATATTTATAACACAAAGGCTATTTTCATTATGGGTATTTGGTCCATGTACATGGCATACCTTAATCCTTTCTTGCATAATTCATCTTTTATTCAATTAAAGTACTTGTGATACTGCAGACATTGTAATCCAATGCATAGGTCACAAGTAAAATTATAATGAGCTTTGTAAATGTGAAATTAAACTCCATAAAATTTAATAGAATGACATGGAGTTCTCTTATTTTTCTGTGGACTGTGAAGAGCTACTTAGAAAATCTATATTGATATTGGATTTCTTATTATAAAATGGAAAGGAAAAGGATAGACAGTGGCCAAGGACACTAAAATCTAAGTGGTAGGGCATAGAGCAAAGTGATAAAAGACACAAATTTTGGGGCTAGACACTTGAGACTTACAGGTTGGTTCTACGAGAAAAAAGAATTAACCTTGCTGTACTTCAAGGTTAATTGCTGTAATTCTGCTGTATTATTGTTGTATCTGCAATTTAAGGAATTATAATAGCGCATAACTTTTGATATAAACTCCAGCATGTGTTAAGCATGAAACAAGCCTTCGTTATTTTTGTTTTTAACATATAGCATAATATTTTAGAACTTTTTTTGGTCTATTTTAATGTTTAGATCCCTTGCAGCAGAATGGGGTAAATATGGAATGAGATTCAATGTAATTCAACCAGGCCCTATAAAAACCAAGGTAAGCTTTAGTTGGCTTATTATAATATGAATGATTAAAGAATAAAATGCTGACGGATGCGTTCTGATTGTATGTGATTGACTTTCCAGGGATGTCTCGGTTTGAAGCTCTGCTTCTAAGGGTGAGGTTCTTCCCATTGTTCAGTGTAAGACATAATAACTTAGCCAAGGTCGGAGCAACTTTGCGATAAGTCCTGTTTCATTAGCTTAATTTTTTTAGGATCTTTTATGTCATTGGCATTTTTTCTGATTTCTTTTAGTTATTATAAATGTGTTATTGTTCTGCATATTTCTTAATTTTCACCGTATTTTAAGATTGTTCATACTTTGATTGACAACCTTTTTTCCCCAAATCTTGGAAATGTAACTATATGTTTAGTTTAAGAAGTTCTCTAGAAACTTGTCATGAGGTGTGACCTTACTATCCATAGCATTTTCTTTGACTCATGTCTGTACTTTTTTTTTTACATTCAATTATTCATATCACCTAACTCCTACATCTGTCTGATTAAACATCCCTCTGAAGGCAAGCATTTTCCAGATCATAACAATCCTTGAAGATATCCACTGCATCTCAGCTACTCTTCTCTCTTAGCTGGGACAAATACTCAACACTCAAAATGAAGGAGGGAAAGGTTTATTTAGCTCACAGTTACTGGAGGTTTCAGTCCATTCTCAGCTGGCTCTAAGGCAGATTGGCTCATGGCAGAGAGAAACCTTTCATGGTGGCAACAAAGAACAGAGAACAAAGGGAGTGGAAGTAGCTCAGGCAGCTAGCTAGTGTCTCTCCCCCTCCTTATATTGTAATGCAAATTACCTGCTTTAGGGCAGGTGCAGCATCCACACCCAAAATAATCAATCAAAAACTCCAGAAGCCACCCCATGACTACATGAGGCTTTGGGGGGCACCTAGACACAAACCATAACATACTGCAACTCCTAATTATCACTAATGTTGTTACACATGTTGCACAGAGTGTCCACACATTCTCTATTCTCTACTGTGAACCTCAAATAACTCCACTCACACATTTCCTTTTTTTCCATAATTTTATTGAGAAACAAATAGCAATGAGACAAATAGGAAAACAAACCAAATTGGTAGAACAGTTTCAATAATTAATACATTGCATACTCTTTTCCTAGTGGTGATTTGCTGTACAAGATGTGGACATGTTATCCTATTTATAGACACTATTAGAACAAATCCCTCTATTCATTAAGAGCATGTAACTATATATCTCTCCTAACCATTTTAAATACACAGATACAAAATGGACATTCATCTGTATACCCTTTTTTGTTTAGTTCCGTCATTTGAATATTATAGGTGTGTTAACTCAGCAAAATATTCTAAAAGAGTCCAGTAGTCCATAATAGTATTGGATCTTCCGCTTCACTGGCAATGTCAGAAATTGTTGACCTGGGTCCCCTACAGCTCAACATAATATCATGGCTTTACTTTTTATACTTTGTTTTTATACTTTTCTGCTGGGTGGTTAAGACCAAGATAAAGCAAGACCCATGCAACAAGAATTGTAGCTTTTGGATCTGATAAGGTCAGTGAAATCCACTCAGGATTTATCCTAGGATCCTCTACCTCAGATTGTAGATCCTTTGTCAGTGTCAGCCATGTGGATGAGTCACGGCCATTGCTTGGCCAATGTGCTCTCTGTGAAAGCCTGAGAGAGTGTTGTCTCTCCATGTGACTCTCCTTAGGCACACTACATCATTGATCACTTTCCTCTTTGGCCCCGTAATCTCCTTGATCAGAAAATTTGGGACACACATTTCCTTTTATTTGCATGTAAACCTACAATTTATTATTTGTAGCTATGATGTAGGTTTGAAAATACAGTCAAAATGCATAAATGCATTGGAGAATAGCATTATGAAACGTTTTTGGTAAGCCCTGTGGTATTAAATATTAATGGAAGTCACCATATTTTATTTAGCAGTTTAATGGATGGAAAACCAATATAGATAAACACATGAGTGAAACTTGATTGCTATTATTTTTCCAACATTTGAATAATAAAAATTATAACCATTAGTGGAAGAATACTTCAAAAGTATATGGTAAAACTCAGGTTGGCACAGTGCTATTCATAATCAGGAAAGAGCTCACAAAAGCAACTTTCTTGGACCTCAATATGTAGGAATAGTTACTTGCCCTTTGTATATTTATTGAGTGCCTATAGTGTTCAATAGGACCAAGAAAGATACAAAAACATTTGTCACAGATGTTTGTCATCAAAGAACTGGTAGTTTAACAATAGAAATAAAAGTTATATGGAAATAATAAGTATGTACTTTTAATTAGATTAAAAATCAAAACTGGAGTATAGAAACCCTGAAGCAAACAAGATACAAGCATGGTTGGGGCCAAAGCTAGACTTTGTCCTGGCTACCTTATACCTAGCCAGGACAATTGGAAGTCTCTTCAGAAGCCTTAAGTGTTTGCTATGTCCCATAACTGTATCAGAGAAAAAGATTACCTAGACTTCAAGGCTTTAGTACAAAAGGATTCAGTAATTTTTCCTAATCAGCTCATAGCTATACCTCTTCTTGGTCTACTCCTGCATATTATTAACATAAGGAAAATTTTTATTTCATTTAGCTTTGAGTTTTAGCTCCGTAAGATCTACTTAAATTTAATTTTATTTTGTATGCTTCATTATTTATTTGTTAAATATAAAATACAGGCATGTAGCATCTGTTCACTGTCTACTTTAAGGTGTTGTTCTGAGGATAAAGTGAGATGATACAAAAAACACCCCCAAAATATAAAGCACACAGATGAAAATCTTCCTGCCCAATAAGAAGAAAAGAGACTCCCTCCTAAATATTTCTTGCTTGGGTCCTTTCTAGTGTTTAATAAATGAAATAACAATAGTATCACTATCTTCACCACACTATGCTTGTATATATTTCAGAATATTTTTGTGCACATTTGCTCGCTTGATGTTTACAGCAACTGTATGAGTTAGCTAAGGTAGATGTCCTGATTTTTCAAATAATAAATGAAGGCAAAAAATTTTTAAAGGTCAAATTTAGGTAAAAATTACCTGTTGGAGCCTAAAATGAATGCAAAAGAATTTTGTAAAATTCTATTATTTGCAGGGCATATTGCAGATATTTTCAGGGTAGCATATAGTAACATTCCATTTTATGTAGATTTATTCCTGAAGTAAGAAAAAGGTTGAATTTGTGTGTGTGTGTGTGTGTGTGTGTGTGTGCACGCATGCGCATGCGTGCACACACACACACACACACACACAAATTGTTTTCTTGATTTCTAAGGGTGCCTTCAGCCGCTTGGACCCAACTGGAACATTTGAGAAAGATATGATTGACAGAATTCCTTGTGGGCGGCTGGGGACTGCGGAAGAGCTGGCAAATCTTGCTATTTTCCTTTGTAGTGATTATGCTTCCTGGATTAGTGGTGCAGTAAGTACTGTTTTGTCTCTTGGCTTTTTGAAGGGATAGGGGAGGAAACCTATGTTGGAACCAATCCTGAGAAGGGTAAATGTAAATATAATTCAGACCAGTTACTTAGATATAATAATATAGAAATGATAATTCAGAAACTTGTAAATGAATTTAGTTTCAGAGCTTTTAATATTTGTTTCAGGTCATTAGATTTGATGGTGGAGAGGAAGCATTTATTTCAGGAGAATTCAACAGCTTAAGGAAGGTAATATCTTTTTGTGTATCTAATATTAACAACTAGGATGCTGAGCCTTAAAACATGTAAGAATTTCATTAAGCCCACATTTTCTTCTTGTGTCAGGTCACCAAGGAAGAGTGGGACACAATAGAACAACTCATCCGGAAGACAAAAGGCTCCTAAGAGCACTTAGCCAGCACATGGTCCAAATTGGAAATGATTTCAATTGACTGTAATCTTTTGAGTATTTTGAATTCTAATAAAGTTTTAACACCAAACATTTGCTGACTACATACTATTTACCAGCCAGTGGTAACTATTTAGGTATTTAAATAGAGATAAGAAAGGAAAATTAGCTCTTTAAAAAGTTGTTTTTAAGTGTGTGAGAGTAGGTGGATGTTTTCGTAGAGGTAAAAAGTGCTTTGAAGTACAGAGCAAGGCACAGGCTATGTGTAATTTGGAAAATCAGTAGAAACCTGATGGGAGAAGTAGCATTTCAGTTGTGTATTATACCCTGTGTTAAAAGAGCCTAAAGTGTAAAAAGAATGAAATTAAAGATCTACCATCAATTTTAATGGCTCCACCTTTTCAGCACATTTCTTTTCATTTAGACTTGTGAATTTTCTCTAGAAAGCTTTCCCTTAACTAAAATGTTACATTTTTATGAGAATTTATTTTTAGTCAGACGTTTTATCTAGTACCTAATAACCTATAACTCTTTTCACTTAAAATTTCATTATCTGGCACAGTGAACCTTTAAATGACTGTGCATGTTATATTGTGATAAACATTATTCCAACAGTACTAAGGTGTGGAGGAAGAAATGATAGTTCATTTGTCTCCAGGCTTAGAGAAAATTGCATCTATGACATACCATTTCTTCTCTGCTTGAAAAAAATAGATTTCTCTGAACAGAGAAGATGAACAAAGCTCATAGAATATTTTGTGTAGGGCCAAAAAGATAGCTCAGTGGTCTAAGCACCTGCCTGGCAAGCGCAAGGGCCTGTGTTTGATCTCACGTGCTGGCCTTGCCCGAGGTGTGATGAAGTGGCCACTGCCATAATCCTAGCTCTGAGGAGGCTAAAGCAGGAGGAGTGCATAGCGAGCTGCATAGCAAGACCTTGGACCAAATACATATATATTATGTGTATATATATGTTTTGATTAAATTTCATATTTTTATTGGCTAATTTTTATTCATGAAAATCAGATAAGAAAAAACCAGTCTTAAGTTAAAAAATTTATAATTTTGAGCCTGTTCTTTTAAACAGTCCATTTTGCATTCACATGAGTCACTTGCTTGTGAGACTGACTAGCGCCCACCGCACAGTTTGCCAGGAGAGGTGACCAGCTTTACTTTTTCCTCATTTGAAAAGATCTGCAGAGGAATTCAACTTTTCTATCTAAATGATATCCTCTGTGCCCCTCATGAAATTGAAGATCTGTTATCAATTTTAGTGGGCTCTACCTTTTCAACATATTTCTTTTTATTTAGACTTGTGAATTATCTTCTCTAGATAGCTTTCATGGGAATTCTTTATACATTGACAGTTAATGATGTACTTAAACTATATTATGAATAATGTACAAACAGGCTAATGTTATATAGGTTTAGAATAAAGAGCCATGATGTTATCTATTTACTAGTTTAGTACATATTTTCTGCAACATCTTTTAAAAATTATTTTTATTATTTTTAAAATGTATTTATTTGGTATAGGGTCTCACTATGCAGCTTGGACTCATAGTGATCCTCCTGTCTCAGCCTTCCTAGCACTGAGATTACAGGCGTGCGCTACCACCCTCGGTTTCAGGGCCGACATGACCTGCCTGAGGTTCCAGGACAGGCAAGACAGACAACAACAGGGATGAAGGGTCTTTACACTTGCCAGGTATGTGCTTAGATTACTGAGCTATCTCTCCAGCCCCCATCTTTTAATCAGATACTTACTCTAGACCATTAACCTCTAATATTGTTCTTATTTTCATTTTACTTGACATCTTTCTTTTTAAATTGCCAGTATTTCTTGTAGTATTAAATAGTAAAAGGTGAGCCCAACAGCAGGACCTGGGAGGAGGAGCTGAGGCATTCGGCTAGGCCCAGAAGGACCCAGATTGTCACCTGGACCTGCAGGGAGGATCATCATGGCACAGAGGTGGCAGGAGGTAACTCAGGTGAGCTGGTCTGCCTGGAAGATTCCAGGTACATGATGGGGAGGTGCCCAGAGAGGACTCAGGGGATCGAGTGTACATACACATTCTCAGTTTATGATTTGCTTTTTTGTATAGCTAAAGTGTTTGCTCCTAGGTCCTAAAGTATAAAACCCATTAGTTACCAAAGTTTGTCAATTTCTGAATTTATTTGCTGTTATGGGTATTGCTAATTATACTATTTTAACTAGGATGCTATATCTGTTTTAACCACATGTTTTCCCTTGGATGATAATATTGGGAGGCACTGGGTAATGACATCACCAAAATGCTATACTGAACGATGGAGGACAGTGCCAAATGGAAAACCATATCTTAATCTCAATCAATAGAAAAGGCAAGATCTTGGACCTCACACAAATGAAGAATTCTGACACACAGAAGAGATAATTGATGAACAGAGTCCTTATAAAGAGTCTCTGACTGCAATGCTATAGCTACCTATTATCAAAATTTCAAAACAAAAGTATCACAGAAATCAAGATAAAGAGTTCTCTCTGAAATAGAAGATGAAAAGAGAAAGAAGCAAAATGTAATCTCAGACCCCCAGCCCACCAGAAACAAATCCAGGAGACATCAGCACAGAGGAAGTTGAAAGTCACACACCTGAAATCTCCGAAATAATATTAACTGAAGTAAAGAAACAACTTTAGAGGGGAATAGAGGAAATCTGATCAGAAATAATCTCACAGATAAAAGCAGAAATGATAACTGTAACAAAAGAATTGCTAAGCGTATCTAAAGAAGACATTGGTTAAAAAACTAATAGAAAAATGATGGAAATGTTGAATAAGCAATATAGGAAAGAAATAGAATATGAAACAGGTTCAAGGAGAGATACAGGAGATTCATTAAAAGTTGGCAAAACTGTCTGAATGAAAGTGAAAGCAGACTTCCAGATCCTGAAGACATTATACTTAGGGACCAGCAAAGAAAGGATACTTATTTATTTATTTATTTATTTATTTATTGCAGTATCAGGGATTGAACTGAGGACCTTACCCTTGCCAGCCAGGTGCTTATACCACTGAGCTATATTCTTGGTCCTTTTAAATTTTTAAGTAATTTTTTTGTTGTTTTGCTTTTTTTTTTTCAGTACCAGAGATCAGACTTGGGACTTTACATTTTCTAGGCAGGCACTTAAGCCATTGAGCTCTATCCCCAGCTCCTGGAAAGATCTCTTAAAAACAACAAAGATCCAGGAAATGATAGTTCAACAGCTACTAGGTAATGCAAAGATGAATAGCATAAGACTAATAGATGTTAATGAAAAAGAAGCCAAAATTTCATAAGAAATAGCAGAAAACTTCCCAAGTATGGAGAAACAATTTGATATTCAGTTAACTGAGGCATATAGAACTCCAAATAACATCAACCAAAATAAATCAACACTCAGACACATAATCAAGATCCCAGAAATTCTGTACAAGAATAATATACTAAAAGTTGCTGGAGAAAAGAGACAGGCCACATTTAAGGGAAAACCTCTCTGAATCACAGCAGATTTCTGAACACAAATCAAGTCAAGAAGATCAAGGAGTGGAGTATTTCAAGTACTACAAGAACACAAATTCCAACCCAGATTGATATACCCTGAAAAAACTTTCTTTCAAAATTAATGGAGAAGTAAAACATTTCCATGACAAAGAACAACTAAAGAAATTCATGGTGATCAAACCAGTGCTGCAAAGAGTGCTGAAAAATATCAGGGGTCAAAAGGACCACAATACCAAGAACAACAACATGAAGAAACTACCAAACCAGGCAAAAAAACAAACAAACAAAAACCAAAAAACAAACAAACGAACAAACAAAAACCCAGGAAAATAACACAACAAACATAATCTAATATATGTCAATTATAACCACTAATGTAAATGAACTCAATTCACCAATTATAAGAAATAGATACACCCCGCCAAGCTTCACACTGAAACAACAAAAGAGGAGTGTGGCCACGCTGAAGCTGTGGGGGGCGACAGATGAGGTTACAGGGCCTTGGAAGGCTGGCTAAAGGGATTGGGGCAGTAGGAAAGTGATTCAAGTGTTAAACAGGGCTGTGACATGACCAAATGAGAACTGCAATTTGTAAAGGTTGAAAACTAGATGAAAGACTGGGGAGATAGCTCAGTGGTCTAAGCGTCTGCCTGGCAAGTGGAAGGGCCCAGGTTCTATGTCCAGTACTGTGTACCGTGCGGGTCCCGACACTGGGCGTGGTGGAAACTGAGAGTGGTGAAGCAGGCCTGTAATCCCAGCACTGGGGAGGCTGAGACAGAAGGATCACTATGACTCTGAGCTGCATAGCAATACCTTGTACCAAATAAATAAATAAATAATTTGTTTTAAAACTAAAAAAAAAAAAAAAAAAGAAAAGAAATAGATTGGCAGAGTGGATCAAGAAACAAAATTCAAGAGTATGCTATGTACAAGAAACACATTTATGCACAGCAGCTGGGATTTCATTCCTGGCTTGCCATGCTCGCCCATCCCTGGGCCATGCTGAGATAGCAATTGAGACTGGGTATGGTGGCATGTGCCTATAATCCCAGTGCTGGGGACATTAACACCCTCTTATCTCAAAAAGACAGATCAAGTAGACAAAAAAATTAGCAAAATGTTAGCAGAACTGAACCAAAACTTTGGACAAATGGACTTAGTGGGCATTTACAGAGTGTTCCACCCAACAACATCTGAATACACATTCTTTTCAGTTGCATATGGGATGTTCTCTAAAATAGACTACATACTAGACCATAGAGCATTGCTTAAGTAAAATGAAGAACACAGAAATTATCTCATGCCTATTATTTTACCATAGTGCAATGGAAGTGGAAATTAACAACAAAAGAAACTTCAAAAACCCATAAACACATGAAAATTAAATAACACCTTCATCAGCAATCAATGGGTGGCAGATGAAATTAAACACCAACTGAAAACAATATCTACAAGCCAGTGAAAATTCAAACACAACTTACTGGAATTTGTGGGAAGCAATGAAAGCATTTCTCAGAGGGAAATTTACAGTGGTGAACTCACACATTAGGAAGACAGAACAAGAACAAATAA